TTATCAGTTTACATGACCACCAGTGGGCGTGAATGTTTCCAATTCCCTCTGACCTTAGGAAATGGGTCCTCACACCCTCTTTTGATAGTGGTGGTGGTTAGTGGTAGTGATTTTACCTTACTTTTAATTTTTGAAGAAATTTTCTGGTGCTCACTGTTAGTTAGCATCTCACACATACCGAAGGAACCGAGGACTAAGCCCTTACTTAACCAGAGAGAGGACAAGAGAACATGCCTGTTGGGCCATCTGTGTATATCTCCTAAAAACAGGGTCCTCAGCCAGAGTTCAGTTCAACTCTGAATACAGCTACAAACACAAATCTTCAATCACTGCAAACCAGGATCTAGCCCACTGTCTGGCCATGAGACCTGCCTTGCTGAGTGAATGAAGAGATATTTCTTTACTATATTTATAGCTTCCCAAAATATAAGGAAAATAACTAGAAATAAGGCAGTTTCTGGAATTAGTAATGTTTATTACCAAAAAAAAGGAAAAAAACAATCATCTGCCGTGCCTTTTTTTCTAATGATTTGGTTTTTCCAAACCTGAGTTTTCCCTCACCAAGTAAACAAAGGAAAGATATTTTACATTAACCGCAGGAGGGAAAGAAAGAGCTTCCTGCATTATGCTAACATCTACTACAGAACACAAATCTAATGTAAGATGCATCAAACAAGGACAAAATCTCTGGAGAACAGATCCAGACAGCATGTTGGTGCCATGTAACTTAGAGCCTGTGCCAGCATTTCCATTATAAAAATCCTATCATCCAAAACCATAGCAAGCTGAATAAGTAACTAATAATTAAGGTGTCCTTCTCTTATTCTAGGAAAATAATTTCAAAATTAAATTGTACACATAGACATGAGGGGGCTATGCCATCGGTGACGTTAATCAGTTTGGAATTTACAAAGGACTCTCTACACCCCCAACCCATTTTTCTGACCTTATCTGAATTTCAGTACTTTTCATTGTGTACTTTTATTGTTTTAGGGAAAAAACTCTCTCCTAGGAGTCTTAGAATCATACAGACCAGCGTTAAAAAGACGCTGGAAATCATCTAGTCCGTACCCTCTAATTTTAAAAATAAAGACACTGTACCGCAGAGACGTTATAAATGGCACAACCCAAGACTACATAAATAATGACTTAATTCCATCTCCTCTGACATCCTATTATAGCTTTGTTTTTGTATTATTTATACACAACTGCCTTTTATTAGAAGAATATGAAAGCATGAACTATACTGGGCATTTGTCCTTAGGAAGCAGACCCTTATAGTGTCAACTTACGTTGGGTGAAATTTTATAGAAACACAAAGCTAGCTTTCTCCTAAATGTAGATGTCATTTAGATATTAGGAGACAACACGACTGAATCTTGGAGCTGAATGGATTTTAAGTATCTTCCAGTACAACTACTTTCACATATGGGGCAACTGAAGACCACAGAGGTTGTGACGTATAAGGCCACCCGATTAGAGGAGCAGGGCCAGTATTTCGTAACTCCTGGTTCAAGGGTCTTTCTACCTCATCAAGCTGGATGTTCTATATTATAGTCAGGTGCAAGATCTGATATTTTTAACTTATAAAAATCTTGGATGTTATAAAATATCAATTCATGACCCACTCAATGTCTAAGGCTGTGCACCGTGGCCCTCCTATTTTTGCAGTCACCTTCCACAGTTTAAGGGTAACCTTTTCTCTCAAAGTCCAGGAGGTCCACTGATTTGAAAAGGCAAGACAAAAATACAACAGCCCTGGCCCCTTACGGTAGAAGATGAATTAAGTCCTGAACAGCCAAATAATGCTGAGGACACAGGCATCCCTGTCACTAATGATCAGGTGAAACTTGCTGTTATTTGCTCCTTCCTTCTGCCTCTGGCCACTTGTCAGAATCTTTCTGGCCAGGCTGCACTGACTGAGGACTGCTGCCCCCAGCTCATCCATCTGAGGGTTAACATCCTCAAGCCAAAGCCTCCTGGAGTCCCATCCCTTGGTGATACAGTGTCAGCATCCTCCCCTGCTACTATCTGTGAGACTTCAATTAAGCCACATCCCTCTTTGAGCCTCAATTTGCTCATGGATAAAATGGCAGCATTTGCTCCAGCCCTACAATCATATGGTCTATGATTTAAGGGATAGTTATTTTCATAAAGGGGAAGGAGGGGGCGAACTCAAGTGGCCTCTTGATATACAGCACTTGAGTCCTGATCCTTCTTTCTCTGTCTCTTGCCAGCCAAGCCAGGCAGCCTATGGGGGTGGAGTCACATTTTCAAGGGGGTGGGAGAACATCTGAGTGGAAAGCAATGCATGATCCCCAAAAACAACTGGAAGGGCCAGGGAGCGATGGGCAAAAGCTAGAAAAAGCAGAGATTCTCAGGGACAAAGAAGGAATGACTCCCAGCCTCAGATGAGATAAAGCACTCTTAAGGCGCAGGCTCAATCCTGGATTTTATGCTGCCAGGCCAAACGTTAGGAAGTCGCATACATGCTGGATGAAATGCTATAATTACTTTGCTGCTTCATTACACTGATTTGGGGCAGCTCTGTAACAAAGGTTTGCTGCAGCCCACCCAAAGGATGGAGCACACGATGACCTATAAAAATCCCTCTGTGCGTCTCCCTGGAAGATTTGTCCAAATGATGGCCTCAGCCTGCACAGCACTGAGGCATATACTTAACTCTGAAACTACCGCCTGGAGCTGAATTCATAAACCTTACTTCCGAGCTGTTACCAAGCTCAGCCAGCCATTGTCTACCTCCCCATTATTCAGAGCCCTCTATGGGGCACCCTTCCCATTTGTGGTCACATCAATCTGTACATTTATTATGACACTTTTCTGGCAGGTGACAGGAGAGGTTTTGAAGAAAGAGAAGCAAAAGGACCACGTGAACTAGTGGTAGCACTGCCTATTCCAAACCCATATTATGGGAATACAGAAGAACACTGAACTTAAGCTTATGCTACCTATGCTCATATGAGATAAAACAGATGTGGTAATGTCACCATAGCTCTAGTCAGGGTCCCTAGATCTTGCACTATTGTCATCAAGATGACAACTTTGGGGCTTCCCTGGTGGCACAGTGGTTAAGAATCCGCCTGCCAATGCAGGGCACATGGGTTCGAGCCCCGGTCCAGGGAGATCCCACATGCCACGGAGCAACTAAGCCCACGCGCCACAACTACTGAGCCTGCGCTCTAGAGCCCGCGAGCCACAACTACTGAACCCGTGTGCCACAACTACTGAAGCCCGTGTGCCTAGAGCCCGTGTTCCACAACAAGAGAAGCCACCTCAACGAGAAGCCTACGCACCACAACGAAGAGAAGCGCCCACTCGCTGCAACTAGAGAAAGCCCGCGAGCAGCAACGAAGACCCAACACAGCCAAAAATAAATAAATTAAATAAATTAATTTAAAAAAAAGATGACAACCTTGATTTTAAACTTTTATTTATTTATTTATTTTTGGCCATGGGATCTTAGTTCCCTGACCAGGGACTGAACCTGGGCCCCGGCAGTGAAAGCGCCAAGTCCTAATCACTGGACTGCCAGGGAATTCCCAAGATTACAACTTTAAAAAAGTAAAACTGCCAATAAAATGTGAGACCCCCCCCGTAAGAACAAAAGTCCATGTTCCAGCAGTGGTCACCTACAGAAATTCTACTTTTTGTCTGGAAAATCTCTAGAATGCAATAACCTCCCTCCTAGGCCCACTGGGGGCTTGCAGAGAGCTCTGGAAGGCCTCAGAGTTGGCAATAACCTTAGCAAAAAGGGGGAGACTCAGTCTGGAATCCAAAACACTGCTAAATGCAGAGTTCATACATATGACACAAATCTGGGGCATTTCCGAAGATACGACGAAGAACTAGATCACCAGTGAGGATAAGACATGAGTTCCCACTTGTGCTTCTTCTAAACAGGTCACACTGAGTGACTCCTTATAGGGACAAAATGTCAATGATTCTCCTCAGTCTCAGAACTGGACTATATTTTTAGTGTTCTCTTTTTTAGTGAGCAACTCTATGGGTTACAAACACTGGTAAAATCTGTAGCCACCACCACAATCAAGATATAAAACAGTTTCATCACCCCCAAAATTCCCTTGTGCCCCTTTATCGTCAACCTCTAACCCTAGCCCCTAATAACCGCTGATAATTTTTTTATAAAACCAGACTGTATTATAATATAAATTTCAACACTGTTTTAGACTTCCCCTTAAATATTTACCATATTTCATTGATTTTAAGACATAACCTCCCCACACACACCCCTAGATTAGAATACTCTGAAATTATTACGTGTCTTACAAACAATGGCATCTTACCATTATAATTGAGAATAATTTTTCTTTTTAGAGGTATATAAAATAATGATGTATCATAATCTATGGTGCCTTTAAAAAATCGGTGAAGTGTAATATTAAGTTTTGCATTTCATAACATTCATTGGATACTTACTATGTGCTAAACATCCTATTAGGCACTAAAAGTACAACAACGAACAAACGTGGACCATAAGGAACTATCACTCGAGAGGAGATAGAAAAACAATTATAATATAATGTGATAAGGTCTGTAACAGAGGGCTATCCACTCAGTAGGACTGAATAAATGATCTCTTCATTGGCCAACCTTTTTCTTTCAGAAAAAACTCCCCCCCAGTTCATACTGTTCCTCGTTCACAGGAAATGAGGAGGGAGGAAGTACCATTCAGCCCCACTCTGCTCATTCCTAGAATGAGTTTTGGCCACACCATCTGACACATCTCCTAGGAACAATCCAGTGATTTCTTCCACAGTTCGCTGCTGTGGTAGAGAAGGCTCATCTTAGTGTGCAACAGCTGCAAGGCTTTTATGACCATGTCAAAAGACCAAAAATAACCACTCAATCTGTGGGAGGCAGATGCCCCAAAGCTTTCACAGACATGCTTCAAGGTCCCCAAATTCTTCCCTGGACAAATTTTAAAGCAGAAGGAAGAGAGGAAAAGTTAGTGTCCTTACCTGGTTCTTGAAAGTGTTCTTCATTTGATAGAGTTCTAGACAAGATAAGTATTAATGCTTCTTTAAATTGGTCAAAATGCACCTAAAAATAAACAATTCAAAAGAAATTCAAAATAGTTTCCACAGCCTTAAGGAAGCAAATCCATCTACAAGGTTCCAGAACCATTTGTTAGCATCTGACAGCCTTGAAGTGAGTCATATAACCTGTTTTTGTTCCTTTTTTCCTTCATTTCTCTAAAGCACTAAAGGGAAAATAGGCTGATCATTTTACACGCCAGTGTCACCAACACTAATATCAGTATTTATTCAACCCTGAGGGGGAAAACTACACAGCAAAACCCTCTTTATAAACTCAGAAAGAGATAGGTTTCGAATTCTTAGCTCCTTTAATTTTTCTAAACAAGACCGGAAGAGAAAGATGTCAGGTTAGGTACTAGAAAAAACTTTCCAAGTAAATGATCCTCTGTAACAATGTCCCAAAGATGCTTTCATCTCTTAAGCTATTCTAGAAGAGGAGAAACTACCTTTCGAAGATGACTTGAAATACAGTCTTGCTTGAGGCAGGAATATGTTACATATTTATCTCCCAAGGCCCCTGTAATTCTATAAACAAATAGAAATCAATAGCAAACACAAAGAATAAAAGAACCTTGGGAAGCATTCTCCCGAATTCTTAAAAATACAATTACCTTGACTGAAGTAGGAAAGAACCTGAGTTTCACTTAAGTGAATGCTCAGAATTGGGATATTACTTTGGTTAAAGAGATAAAATAGTTTTCTTTATGGTCAAGTACATTCTTCTGTAACTTAAATTTACATGATCTCACCATGCGGCAGAAGGGAGAGATGGTATTTCTTCTCATCATAATTATAGTTTAATAACGTGGTGCCTATTTATACAGAACCCTGTATGTAAATACAAAGTTGGTAAATTTATAACTTGTGCTGCTATGGGTCTCTTTAGACATCATTACAAAACGTCGCCTAGAAGATTAAATATAGTGACAGATAAAAACCACTTCTGAATTAAATGTGGAAAAGCAGCAAACCTTGTTAGTTATCTAAACAACGAAGGAAACCAACCATATGTCTTATTCATGCAAATCAGTGCAAAGGAGAGGAATCCACTGAGATTCATATGTCATAAAATAGCATATGCTTGCAATTTACCACTCTCTCCCAAAGAATATGTGATTTCTCTACCACATTCATTTTGATTACTTGAAATTGCTTTCTAAAATCATATTCCTTTAGATCACACAGACTAAAAATCAGCATATTTGTGCAGCCAGAGCAGAAGTCTGTTCAGGAAGGGAGGGCATCTGCTAAAGAGCCAGGGTGGCACAATCAATGAAGGACTAAAAGATAACAGAATTATAAACTGTGCTAATTAGGTTTCATAGCTGACGAATCACAGAAAAGCCTGGGGGAGGAAGGAGAACTAGGTTCCGCCAGAGTCAGAGATGGGCTTCAGGCACCGTGGCATCCAGCTTCAGTTACCGGGGGCGAGGCCATCTTCCCAACCAGCCGGCCCACAAACAGCACATACCCAAGCCTCTCCCACTCAGGGGCATCTCCCACCCTGGCATCTACTATTTCCTACCAGAATCAGGCTTTCCTCTTAGGGTGGGCAGGAGAAGGGTGAGGAGTGAAAGCTCTAAGCTGGGGCAGCTGGGTCTAGGTCCTGACTCCGGCTCAGCCACTGTGAATTGGCTCAATTACCAAACCTCTCCAAGTTTTAGTTTGTTCCACTTGAAAAATGGGATATCTAACGACTCATCTTTATGATTCACTCAACAGATATTTATTGGGCCACTGCTATGGGCCAGGCCCTATCCTAGGCCCCGGTGATAGAGCCGCCATGGAGCGAGCGCATAGTCTCAGGAACGTCACAGGGAATCAGGCAGGTACTGCTAAGGACACTGCATGTATCTTATGTTATTTATACTACCGCCTCCCTCGTAGTGGCTTTAGGGAGATAAAATGAGAGTTATGTAAAGTGTCTAGAACTTCCTGAGACTTGCTAGGTAGTCAGCAAGTGGTAGTTAACACTACTAACAGGACTAGTAATGGGGGTGACTGTTCTTACCACTTTCACAGAGAAACAGGGCCACATTTCAAGCAAAGCAACTGGCCATGAGAGTGACCCAACCAGCCAAGTGCTAGGGCGGGGGTGACAGCAAGAGGCCCAGGAGCCTGCCTCCCCCCAGGACCTGTGCAGCTGGCCAGCATCAGAGAAATGGATCCGGTCTGCTGTGTTTAGGGACCCCAACTCCGAGATTCTCCTCTCCCTTAGGGTATCAGTGGACATGACCCGAATGAAACCAGAGTCCCTCACTGCCACAGTAATGAGTTGAACAGAAGGAGGCTCCTGTTTCAAAAGGGATGTGGTTGCCTTGAGACTTTCACATCCTTTATATCTGACTCTGTGGGTCTCTGCTGGGTCTCCTCAACGTGTCAGTTTTGATAGAGGTCATTGGAAAGAGCCCTCCGGAATTTAGTCCTAACATAGTTCAACTCGGCGAGGATTAGCCATGCGGGTAACTCAGGGGTTTCTGTATCTCAAGTTTACTTCCCCCAACCTCCAAACATGACAAAGACGTCAATAACCTGGAAGTTAATTCTAGCCAACTTCTAAGACTTTATTATACCAGATTCAAGGGACACTTAGGCCTCATACAAACACACCCACTTCTGAGACAGTATGTACCTCACTGACATAGAGGTTGCTTCTCTCTCAGCCTCAGTCCTCTAGAGCATGGCAGACAATCGGGAAGCGAACAAGTGGTGTCCAAAGCTGAGGAAGGTGTCATAAAGCCCACTCGCTCTTCTTGCAGGATATGCCCTGGAACCGACTCAGAAGCTATTTCTTCTCACTCTACATGATTTATTATCAGCTTCATTTTCCTGCTTCCCAACCCCCTACAGATTAGAAACAGCAACTAAAAGACAGGGACACTTCAAGGTGAGTACAAGAGGTAGCTACTGACATACTGGGATTGAGAGAAGACATTAACTATCCCCCCTCGAACAAAAGTAAAGTATAATTTTTTAAACTTAAAAAAAGTTTAAAATTTTTAAAAGACATACGCACTCAAAACCTAATAGGCTGGGGGTTATTTAGTATTGAGGCAAGGATCTACGGGCTGCTAAATAAATCCTGAGGGTATTGTTCTTATAATACAGAAGAATAACTGACAGACCAAGAAGATTTTAAATGATCAAGAATAACCTCATGATGTTTATTATACTATCTGGTAGGGTAAAACTTTAATAAAATTTTCTCAATCCCCAATGGTTAACCCCTTTTTAATTTTTTTAAAGTTTGCCACTAAATGGGGTAAGAGATCCAGTTATTAGAAAATCATATTAGTGCGAGTTCTGGGAGCATTATTGTAGGCTCCTTCTATCCTGGTCATTTGGCCAGTTGAATCTCACAACATCCATGAGAGACGGTCATGGTCCCTCCTTTGAACTGAGGGGAGAGAGGCTCAGAGAAAGCATGTGCCTTGCCCAAGGCCACCTGTCTTGAAGTGGTAGAGTTACCGGGAGAACTGAGGCCTTCTGAATGGACTCGTCAAAGTCCAGCCACCCTGCCTGCCCCAGGCCCTCCTCACTCCTGGTCTGACCGCTCAGGGAAATCCCTCTGCTGCTCCAGGTCAAATCCTCAACTTTCCACAATGTCACCAGGTACAAAGTAGGACACTGGGGACTCAGAGGACACAAGAGCAAGAGAATATATAAGATTCTAGAGTGTGGGAGGGTGGAATGGGGAGAAGAGAAGAAAGTTGATTAGTAACTATAATGCAAGGCAGAACCTAGCAAGTACTTTGAGAGAGACAGAAAAAGCTGGTAGGGGCCTCTGATAAATGAGCATATGTCCTAGTAGGCCAGCAGGGAGGAAAAGAGGGGCAGTTTTGTGACATTCGACTTCTCCAAGATGTTCACAGGCAGAGCTTAAGGGTTTCCAGTATGGACTTAGGATGTATTAAATCAGCCACACTTTAGAAGGAACAAAATCTATAAAAAACTAAACATGATTATTAACTCAGGGGTTCTTCATAATCCAGCAACGCCTATCTGGGTGACACCCTGCTTCCCCGACAAAAAGAATCTAAAAATCCAAAACAAAAAACCTGGCAAGCTGATGAAAAAACAATTGGAGCAGCCTGAAGTCTTAAACTGACCTTTATTTTCCTTCTTGTGAGGGCAGAGACACCAGACCCTCTGCTTCAAATAGCAGTAAATTCCACATCTTTCAAGAGAGTTCTCTAATAGAGGCAGGTGACTACTATTTCCCATCAATGCTCATGAATACAGATGGGGCAGAAAAGCCCCTCAGGGCACAACCCAGAACCAAAACGTGAGTAAACGCCCTCTATTGTGAAGAAATGCACATCAGTGGGCTCACTCGGTTCAGTCCCTGTAATTTTTAAGTACCATTTTTTCTCCTCCAAGGGAGCTTTACTATTGTATTCTGTTAAAATTTAGAAATCTTCAGAAATATACAATGCGATTAAATCTCACATGGTAACCAGGAAGAGCCATGCGTACCTTGGTTGGTACCCCCTCATTTGAATAATAATTGCCGCCATTCATTTTATAAGCATTCCTATACCTTGTATGCCTCAAAGGGCAGTTTGCAGCAATGGGAAAATTACATGACTGACTAAAAACACACATGACATTTAAACTAAATTAACAGGAAGACTAGTTAAGTCTGATATTTTCTGTCATGTGTCACCACCGCTTAATAGAAATTTACCTCATCACTTTTCCTCTCCAAATTTCATAGGAATGCTTTGTGAGAAACATAATTTGCCTTTCTGAAAAAATAATGTAAGCACAGCACAAGAAACAAATTCTATTTCAAACCACGCACAAAAAACCCTGTAACAGGAAGTAGAATGAGGAACTTAACGTTGCATAAAATCATCTCGAGCAATCATGGAGATCAGACGCATACGGTTTCCCCATGTGTGCAGGCAGCACTTCAAACAGACCTGAGATGAGAGGGCTCAAGCCAGCGTTCAACAAAGTGCGCTTATTAGACCAGACAAAGGCCCACGTAACTCTCATCAC